TAAGTGAAGCATCATTCACTATGTGATTTTTTTTCACTTTAAAGGGTAGTTTATTGAATCAGCCCTATTGATATACCTATTCAAGAATGTTAGATAATAAGTCTTGTTAGGGATTTGTATGAGAAAAAAGACACCCATCTCTTCCTCAGCCAGCTAAAGTTTAGATCCAGATATCGCAAGTATTTTGGAAAATGCAATTTGGTTATAATTATTCTCAAATCACATATATTTAAAGGAGTGGTATCATTTTTAAATCATTTTTCCACACACTTCAAATTTTTTCTTCATTGTTTCAGTTATAGCCCAAAGGTTATGCCAATAAAAAGCCAAGTTGCTCTTGAAAAGATTTTGCTTTTTTATATCAAGAATTAGTATTGTACCAAAAACCAAAAACATACATTAAGAAATACTTCGCAAAATATCACTTAAGAATTAAACATTCTTAAATTTTTTATGTCAAACTTGTGGAATTTGTAGATAATTACAAGTATTACACAAATTAGTATCTCTTTAAACACTAAAGGAAAGTAGACATATACATTTTACCTTATAATTATTATAATGAAACATAAATAGGACATTAATATAATAGAAATAGAGTAACTTATAATTATATAAGTATAAATAAAATTAAGCATATAGATATATAATGCCATGTCTACCTGAAAAACACTTAAAATGGATAAGCTACATGTCTATGGATTATAACTTTTACTTCACATCCATTCTTTTGTATACAAATGATAAATAGAATAAAATATAGCTTGTATTCATCTGATTTTCCTATTTATGAACTGATCTATTTCATTTATTTATTTATTCAGTATATATCTGTTGTCCATCTATTATGTGCTAGAACAGAGGACAGAATGATGAATTGAGCCTTGTCCACAAGGAGTTTTCAGTTTAGAGAGACAAAGAACGCTAGGTGAGTCATTATGGGGTCACATGGAAATATCTAACCAGTAGAAGAGAACACTTCTTAGAAAAGATAACAACTGATGAGTTTCTTAAAGTATGAATAAAATTTAGTCTGGCAAACGGAGAAGGAAAGACGGTACAGACAAAGACATTGTAAGAACTCATTCCATAGAGAGAAATAAGCAGGAATCTGCTGAAAACGCCAAGCCTTTGGTTTTCTTTGGAACTGACCCTACATTAGTCAGTTGCCGTGACAGGGTTTTAGACAGGGTCGTGGTTAGATTTCCATTAAACAGAGTTCTTGCTGGTACTTTGTCAGGGGGATTTGTCAGGACTGGAGCCAAGGAGAGCAGTTAAACACAGGGACTCTTAATCAGGAGGCTTGGACCCCTAAGGGACTATAGATAGAATTTAGGAGGTCCTTGAACTTGAATGGGGAAACATTACATTATTATTCACAATTATCTCTTATTAAATACATTATTTCATCAATTACAAATGTAAGGACCGAACCACAGGAATACTGGCAGTACCAGCCACAGTGTAACCAATACAAACCATAGATGTATTCATGTTACATTCCAGTTGTTGTAGGTATCATAAAGCATTATTTATTTATTTACTCATTCATTCTTAGTCATGGTAAAAAACACGTAACATGAAATTTACTAACTATTTTTCACATGCGCAGCTCAGTAGTGTTAAGGAGACATACTTAACTCGTACAGTGGGCTCGTATAGTATTTGTCTTTTTGGGACCAGCTTATTTTGCTTAGCACAATGTCCTCAAAGTTCATCCATATTGTAACATGTCATAATTTCCTTCCTTTTTAAGGCTGAATCATGTTCCACTGTATGTATATACCACATTTTGTTTATCCATTCATTTGTCAACGAATATTTGGGTTGCTTCCTAACTCTTGGCTATTGTGAATAATGCTGCTATGAATATAGGTGTGCAAATATCTCTTTGAGACCCCACTTTCCACTCTTTTGGACATATGTACCAAGAAGTGGAATTGCTGGATGATATGGTAGTTCTATCTTTAATTTTTGAGGAACTACCATATTATTTTCCATAGCACTTGCACCATTTTACACTGCCACCAACAGTGCACAAGGGTTTCAAGTTTTCTGCATCCTCACTAACACTTATTTTCTATTATTTTAATAGTAGTCATTCTAATGGGTGTAAGATGATATTTCATTGTGATTCTGCTTTGCATTTCTCTATTGATTAGTGATATTGAGCATCTTTGCACATGCTTGTTGGCCATTTGTATATCATCTTTGGAGAAATGTCTGTTCAAGTCCTTTGCCCATTTCTGAATCAGGCTGTTCATTTTTTGTCTTGAGTTGTAGTAGTTCTTTATATATTCTGGATACTAACCCTTCATCAGATATATGATTTCTAAACATTTTCTCCCATTCTGTAAGTTGTCTTTCACCCTATTGATTGTGTCCTTCGACACAGAGAAGTTTTTAAGTTTTATATAGCCCCATTTGTCTGTATTTTTGTTGCCTGAGCTTTTGGTGTCATATCTAAGAATCATTGCCAAGGATAATGTCATGAAGCTTTTCCTCTATGTTTTTTTCTAGGAGTTTTATAGTTTACATTTAGGTCTTTAATCTATTTTGTGTTAATTTTTGTATATAGCGTAAGATAAAAGTCTGGCTTCAATCTTGTGCATGTAGATATCCAGTTTTCTCAAAAACGTTGGTTAAGGTGAATGTCCTTTTTAAAATAATATTTATGCCTATCGCTGCTCCAAAACTACATTACATATTAATCCTACTGTTAGTAATTTTTATGTAATCTGCTAATAAAGAAGCATATTACTGTATCACATTTATTTTTTAAGTATGTTGATGAATATATTTCAATATAATTTATTTTCCTTGTAATTCTTTGTAATTTATTTTATGAATTTATTGATTTTTATGCATTTATGATATAAAATATTTATTTTGTGCCTATTTATTCATTTAACATATGAGAAGGGAGTCTATTAGTTTCATCAGACTGCCACTGGGTCCATGGTCTCACAAAATATTAAGAATTCAGAGATTGTTTCAGTAAATCAGGCAATTGATGAAGACTTGAACTAGAGCAATGGTAAGAAGAAATATATAAAATCAAGAAATAGGCAAATTAACATGATTTAGTGATTAATTAAATACCAAGAACCAAGGAGAAGGTGAAGTCAATGATGACCCTCTAATTTTTAACTTGGGTAACTGGGTTGCTTGGTGGTGTGTGGTTCTGGGAGTCTCACCAGAGTAGAAGTTGCATTTAAAACCGTGAGTGGGCCTGAGGTCCTCCATGGGGAGAAGGTAGAGAAAGCAATTGACTCAGGATAAAACCATGGGAAACCAATGTTCAAAGACTAGCCAATTCATTATCAGCTACAGTGTCATGCTATATATATAATGTGTCATCAAATAGATCTACTATGTAAAGAATAAAACTTTGACAAGCAGTTGGTGGTTAATTTGCAAAAGACTATTGGTTATGAGTCTACTCTGCATTTATAATTTTTGCACCTGCAATTATTTGCATGCAAAAACAAATGCAGCAGCCACAGTTGCTGAATTATAGGCACAGCTTTCTAAATTTGCCCTAAAAATTAATACAAAGAGATTCCACCTGTGAAAGTGTAGCAAATCTCTCAGAACTTTCCTGTCCCACATCCTATCAGGCTAGTGGACACACTTCCCTTTTGGCTTCTGTCTTGGGCTTTATTCTTGCCTGGCCTTGTTCATGCATTATAGGCTAGTCACTCTGATGACTGAGAGTCAGAGGCCTTTCCTCATATCCAACCTTTGTGCTCCCCCCAACAAATGTAAAATGTACCGTAGTATAGGCAGACTAAAAATGGTAGCCATTTCTGAAGCACATCATTTGCCTCATTAATGTGAACAGATTTAATTTTTTATTCACATGTAATTTTACAAGGTAGGCAATTTGAACACTGTAGAGATGAAATCTCATACAAATTTCTGCTCAAAGGTGACAAGAAAATTAGGTTATTCTACTTTTAAAAAAAAGTTTTAGCCATTTATTAAAAACACAGCTGTCAGTTTGGATCCACTATATTCATATTTCCCCATTATATTATTAGGACCATCAAGAAATTTAATAATTGTCCCCTGGCGTTTGATTTCCTATGAAAGCGTCATAACACAATCAGTACTATAGCAGATAATTATTGAACTGTGTGAAGATGGGTATGATTTCAGCTGGGAAATATATAATAATAGATGAGAAAAATAAAACCCGGGTTAACACGATAAAAATTCTGTTCTCATACAAATGTCAGTAATAATAAATGTGGGGACAACATAGCCTGCTTTATGAAAATGAAACAGATTCCAGGAGGAATAATTTGCAAAGGTTTTAATGATAGTTTGAATAATATTTGCTTATCATTTAATCATATTAAACACTTTGATAAATCCTCTGTGGTAGAAACAATATACACTTTAAGAATGGGAAACTCGGTAGTTCATTAGGCTAACAAATAAAATCAGAATGTAACATGTACTTCTTCTATATGAAATCTATATTTCCCCACTCTGGTGTTTGGAATTGTCATAGGATATTACCATGAATGGTTTAGGGGCAAATGAAGGCTTAGGAATTCTAAAATGTTTACTAGTCTTTATTTTTTATATAAAAATTACAGCGATTAAGATGGTACATTTTTGTTCTACTATCTTTTTCTCAGTGTTGTATGGGTCACGAAGAATTGAAGCAGTAGTTAGACACCAGCCTTAAGTTTATGGACAACGAGGCACATATCTGGACATCGGAATTATGGTAAAGTAATTTAGATTTAGCCAAAGGGATGATGTTAAGAAAACGAGAATTGTAAAGGGGAAGAATCATTCCAAAAAGAAAGTTAATTAGAAGTAAAAGATAGGTCAGCCATTTGTTCTATCTGTCATATATATGTGAACGTTTCAATGGATTCAATCAAATTTCAAAATATTATTAATGGAATGATAAACATAAGTCACTTATTCTCAAAAGGGGTAGAATAACATTTTGAGACATTAAAAAGGATAATGCTACTCACATCCTGAGCTACCATTTGTTGACACCAGAGTCAAGTTGGAAGGCCATGGATTCCGCACAATATCTTGCCAATGAATTGTGTCTGTGTAACAAAGGAACTTGTTCTGGTCCACATAGACGCCACCATTTAGGATTTCTGTATTAAAACAAACAGAGATTTGTCATCAAACTTCTTGGTGATGAAAAGCTATTCAATAAAAATGATTTACATCATGCAGAAATAGAAGTACAATGATGTACACCTGAAATTTTTGCAATGTTATAAACCAATGTTACTGCAATAAAAAAAAAAATAAAAAATAAATAAATAAAAGAACAAGAAACAAACAAAAAAAAAATAAAAATAAAAATGATTTACTTTTTAGTATTTTCAATGTTAAATTAGAGTTACTTTGTTACCAGCCAAAATATCTTTTATAATATCTTTTACTGAGTCACATAAATTTGAGAAATTTGAAAAGATTGAAAGATACAAAGAAAAACAACTGCTCATAATCCAAATACTCAGAAGGAAACACTCAATATTTTGGTATAGACGTTCTCAGTCTCTTCTGTTTTTTACCTCCCGAAATTGAAATAATATTGCATATAGTATTTCATAGCGTGTTAATTTTGTTTAATATTATAAAGTGAGTATTTAATGGTAATTAAATATTATTCTACATTATTTTTAATGAGAATATGATATTCCAGAGGATAAGTTAAGTAGTACTTATTTAACCCATCCCCTCTTGTTGGTCATTTAACTTGTTGATCTCTGATTAGTTCTTTAAAATAAATTTCCACAAATGATATTTCAAGGTTATAGAGTGTGAATATTTTTAAGACTTTTGGTACAAGTTGTCAAATTTCCCTTAAGTAAAATTATTTCAGTCAATGTGACATTGACTAGAGCCAGTAGGTAAGTGATTAGCACAAAGTGGAAGCTAAAATGAATGCTTCAATCACAAAAATGTTTTTGTCAAATGGAATCAATAAAATTGCCAATCATTATTTAAGAATAACACAAAACAGGATAAAATAAAAACCCTATGGTTCATTAGGACAAGGGCATCACCATAGAATAAAATGCACTAAAAGTCAATTTTTACTTGATTCTCTATTTCACAATATTGGCCTTGATCAGTTAACTTGTCCCCCCAAACAATGGCTGATCAAATACACAGATTCTCTTTCAGATAGCTTTAAGTTATCCAGAAAATAAAAAGTAGATATTTCCTCTGAAAACACTATTCTTATTATTTGAAGAAATTGGTTATAAATACACATAACATCTTTCTGCCCAATATCTACACATTTTCCCTTCTTGTCCAATACAAAAAAACTTTAAATAAATCAATGTATAAAGCATTTAGTTACAAGTAACAAAAACCCAGTGAACAGTAGTCTGTATCTAGGGGATGATTTTTCTCACATGATAAGAAATGTATAGAAAGCAGTTACAGATATTGGTTTAGCTGTCCCACAGAACCCGTGAAGCAATCTGTCATCTTCAGTGTGTTGGCTTTATTCATTCCAGGCACAAGATGGCTGTTGCATCTAAAGGTGTGTGTTCTGAACTCCAGGTAGGATGAAGACAGAAGACCAAGCAAGAGACTTCCTCCTAGTGAGACTCCAACTTCCTACTTGGGAAGAGATGCTCTCCCCAAAGATAAAGTCTGCATTTCATTGGCCAAAACAATATCTCATAGCTATTGCTACTGCAAGAGGGGCTGAGTAAGCAAGTATTTAGATGGATATATTGCTACTCAAACAAAACTGAATCAAGCAGGGTGTTAGTGAGGAAGAAGAGGGACATGGGTATTGAGAAGGCAATCAACTCTGTCTCCCATGGTGGCCTTGAGAAAACCATCTCTCCTGGGCAGTCCCACAAGCTAAACATTTAAGAGTCCCCTCAAAACAAAGAGAGAGATAAAAGAATGAAAGAAACAGGTGACATCATTAGAGAGGTATTTGTGGAAGCCAGATTGGTGGGCACATTTAAAGTACCTCGCTGTGTTGCATGTATAAAATCCTCCAAATTAATTTTGACATTGCAGGGTTTTCCACATTTAAAATCACTCCCGTTCCCATCATCTATCCTTTCACTGACTATTGGCTCCATTTTCTCAGGTGAGGGAAAAAAAGAAACAAAAAGAAATTAGATCATCTTTCTACTTCTGAAACCCAGTTCATTATTCTTCATGACCTAACCATACAACCTTCATCAAAGCAGAAGGGAGATGTAAGACGTAAGAAAGATTGTGAAAATGGATTTTTACATTAATGCTTGGCATTAAGTTTCTATCTAAGAAATGTGACGATCTCAGACTAATAGCTTTCTCATGAGACATTAGGTGATGCTCTTCTGCTCTAGGAATAATTCTGCATTAGATGACAAAGAAAGGAGATTTTGACTGCTATCCAGGAAATGAAGGTTATTTTTCAGTCTACATTTGGAAAAGTTCTACATAAAAAAAAAAAAAATGTGAAGAGAAAAAGTAATAGCTCAAACATTGTGGGGAGAGTTTGTATTTTTCAGGAGTCACATTTAATTCAAATAGTTCATACTGAAGGAACACAATATCTATCCCCAACTTCTTATCTAAAAATATTCAAATAGAATCAGATTATATTATACTGAATAATAGTCTCATCAAATCCCTTTCTTCAACGATATTAATCTGCTACCAATATTGACATTTGTTTCTTAGATATTTTCTGTTCAAGAGCTTGGTTTATACTTGGAAAAGGATTTAGAAAGGAGGCAATAATAATTTAAGAATAATCTTACATGTTAAAATTTCAAATTAAGACTACAATCCTGATCAATCAGGATGATACTTATATCATCCTAAATTTAAAACCCAGCATCTGCTACCAATTCTAGTCAGGAGGATTTATAAATATTTAGTATTTAATGACAGATTGTTTAATCATATGTGTGTGTGTTTTCCCTGAAAATAATCTTTTTTCCTTTATGTTTGGCTTAGACCCTATTCTGTTGTTGAATGTCAAAAACCTTACAATCAGAAAATGTGTATTATATTGACATTTCTAGGAGAATCTTAATGTACACTTTATCTTACATTTTCTTTTGATTAACTTGATTACCTAAATATTTGTCAGGAAATAATGTTAAAATTGCATTAATTTATTTGTACAGTTTACATTGATTTTATAACTTTATACAATTTTTAAAATATCAATTTAATATGCTTTCATGAGGAAATATATAAATTTATTTCTGGACTAAGAAAATTCTAGGGAAAGTATTGACCTGTAAGAGAGTCGTTAGGGACGTGGATTATACACCGGAATAAACAAAAGGAATACCTAATGTTTCTGCCTTGGTTGACCACAGAGGCTTGATTGAATTTTTAGATTAGAAAGAAGGACAAGGATTAGAAAGAGAGAAAACCTGGGTAAGATATTTATCCAAGAAGATACCAGAAAAATGTCTGACTGTACGTTAGATCTATCTTTGCTAACCACAAGAACAGTAGAGCTTTCCACAGTTTCATTAAAGATTTATTGAAGGTACCATCGTGTTACACCAAGAGTTTCACCACTAGCATGAAATAAAGTGATCAACAAATTAAATTCTAAAATCATGATAAAAAAGACAAATTCTTATTCTAAGGAATATAGGCAAATGAAGCAGAAGTTTAGTTGATATTCAACAAAGGCGCATAAAGCTTGGAAGAGTGAAAAGACTCAAAAATATTGAATAAGTAAGTGAGCTTAAAGTATTCTCGTTCCATTGTATTTCACCTCCACTGTAAGAAATATATCCGAGTAAACTGAGAGAGACACAAATAGATTCTTGGTCATTGAAACAACTGGTAGAAAAAAGCTGCGATGAGTTTTCTTATCATATTATATATGTAAAAATATTTCCAACAAGTTCACAAAACAGAACTGTGTCTTCTTAATAAATGTCACAGTTAAATATAGTACGAAATATTAAATTAGATATTCTATGAAAAAAGTATCATTTCATTACTGAAAAATTCCAGTAAACACTTAACTACATTTGTCTCAGATATTTCCTACTAAATTAATGAATGCAAGTCAAGTAAAAGATATCATGGATCTTTTTGTATTTAGAGTAAGTAAACTGTAATCCACACTACTCGCCAATATGTTGAATTTAACTTACATACAGCTTACGATTTGTAACTGAAATATAATTAGACTAAACTCCATGAGGGCAAAGGATATTTTTCAGTGGTGTATCTGTAGCATCAAACCTGGAGAAATACTCAACGAATATGTGTTAAATTGAACTGAAAACAAAAGTCACAGAATTTGCCATCGACATTGATCAGTTAACCTCTGTTGTAGTTCCTAATTTTAAATTATATTCTGACCAAATCAAAGAAAGAATGAAAGTTATCTTTTTCTGTAAACACTCTGTAGGTCATCTTAACTGCGTCTACATTTCATTATGTCAGTGGTCATATCTATTTTGTTCAAAACTGTATCCCCAGTGTGTAGCATTAAGCAAGATACTCAATGAATATTTGCTTCATAAAAAATATTGAGTATAGGAAAAAATTAAAGACATATATAATTTTGAGGTTAGAGTTTTTGTGAGCTGGAAGAGAAACAGGTTTTATTATATAAAATGCTGATAATTGATAATGTACATAATTACTACAGACAACATGTTTGATATTCATAAGGCACATTTTAGACATTTTCATTGGTATCTCTAAATCTATTTTGTGCACTAAATTCAATTATAATTTATCAAGTAATAATGATGATTTTGAGCTGTCCCAAACAGATCAAACTCCTCCAGACCTGGGCAAATTATCTGGCATAAGCTACACAAATGTCTAAAAGCGTGTTTTGATATTGAACCATAAATCTACCTCATATCATTCCTTAAATTAGTTTTTTAAAAAGGCAAGTGCCAATATGACATTTAAAGAGGACATAAAGTACTTGTGTCTTAGCCTTCCCATCCACAAAGATTGTCTGTTTGACCACTTCTTCACTTGATTCCCATTTGCACGAGTCCACTGAAGAAGGACATGTCTGTGTTATTTAAATAAGTTCTTTCGTACTCTTCACTTCTTTCCAAATGCCAGATATTATAGCGAGTTTGAGGATGAGTGACCATTAAGAGAATCGTTGACATTTTGAAAA